TTTTCTTTTCTTCATTTATGTGTAACTGTACGTAAGCGCGAACGCATTTGGAGTGTTACATAGCTAATTATACGTGGAATTCCCCCGAGCGGATACAAGGTTTGAGGGGCCCCACAAAAAAGGTCAAGAGGCACACTGCTATTTCCCTTGGTTGCGTTGTTACATAATCCCACGCACACTCATATGCAGTGGAACGAAAATTTGGCTGATTTCATGTACTGGGGATACGCAGAAGGAAGTGTGCAACTTCACTTTCTGGTATGCTCAGTAACGTGTTTTATCAAGGGTGGTAAAACCCATCGGCAGTTCAGAAACTCGCTGCAGTGATTGGTTCTTTCCGACAGGTAATCACCTGGGCTGGATTACCTTTTAAGGACAGGTACTACTGTCAATCCCTCCTCTCACGTTGCTCCTCCTCTGCCTTTATTCATTTTTATATTTCCCCTCCTGAGTTTATGCTCCGCACCTCAAAAAATAAATAAATAAAAATAACAGTAGGGATACTGTTATTTTTTTTAAATTAATTTGCAGCTCCCCTGCTGCTTTTACACAATCTTGGAGAGCAACAAAAGGAGGGAAGTGGGGAAGGATATCAAGATGTGAGATGGAGTGAGCGAGTGAGCCTTTCTTGGATCATCAGATTGTAAACTGATTACCTGGGACATGTCAAGGCTGATAGTTATATAAGGATTAGCGGACCTATTGAGACACATGTTTGTGTCTGGGAGAAAGCAAAAAAAAAAAAGCATGTCTCACCACATTCTGTTTGTTTTTTTTCCCCCCTTGTTACTTTGGTAACAGAAGTAAAACTGGGTCAGTGAGTGTTTTTTTTTTAAATGTAAACGTTATGCTGGTTTTTCTTTTGTAATCAATTATGATTGGTCTACGTTTCCGTTGAAATACACCAGAAGCCCCCGCTCGCGTACTTGCAAATCAGTGATGCGACATTGTCATCAATTATTCAAAGTCGCCTTTTCTCAACTTCGTTTAATAGTCTGCGCGCAAGTGGAGCCTTCGCGTGTTTTAAATTCGGAACTGCAGCAACCCAGAATATAGCCACATCCATCCATAGCACATCCATGGCAGAATTGAAACCATTTGTTGTATTCCAGACCTTTTATGATTGTTACTCTACTTATAATGCTGCCTCTTCCTTCGCTTAAAGGAGAAGGGTGTGGGGGGGGGGTGTAATAAGAAGCCCGCAGAGCCCACAATTACTGTGTTGCATGTGAATCTCTTAAGGGGAGGCCCCATCAGCTCTTTGTAGCACAAGGGCACACAATATAACAAGCCCCGATTCCCACTAATGAGAAAGATGAAAACGTTGGAAGGAGGTCGTTGTAGAGGAAACACGGGTGGGGGTGGGGGGGGTGAGTGTGTGTGGAGGATTCCAAAGGGGGGGGGGGAGGGGCAGGAAAGTGGTGGCAGTGGCCAACAACACCACCTGCTCGTGTTCGTCCGTCCGTTCACAGATGTGGTGTGCAATCCCATTTTCCACAGATGCTGTCGGTGGTGCAATGTTCACTTGTCGCCAATAGGTGGCACACTAGAGCTCTTTTAAATTGATCTGAAGAGACTGGAAGACTCAAAGCAAGCAGTGCTTTTTACGATACAATCCAGTGCAGCAGTTGCAGCGGGAACATTGGAAGGCGCTTCACAGACAAGTTATCATCATATCACGTAACATAAAACGTGGACAATCGTGACAAGCATTCCTGCATCCACTTTGTTGTTTGTAGCAGTTCGATGAAAGTGGAGAGATTCAAAGTCTGCTTTCACCAGTGGATCATAGACATGAAGCTTAAAATGTCGCATGACGTCCCACGTTTGCTTCGAGAAGAGAAGCGACGATTGGGAATAAATTCATACAATATCACGAAACAAACATAAGTATTTTGGTTGTAAATTTACACGAGGGCTTCTGATACGCTGTAAAAAAAAATTGGGTGAACTCAAAATTTCAAGGCAACAAACTGGATAATATTTGAACTTGTAAGTGTTTTAACTTCTGCTGCTGTGAAACCATTTTGGCTTTCTTGCATTTCACAGCAATTAATTTTTTTTAGTCGTGCATAAATGGTTTGTTCTTGTGTCCAAAGGAAGCGGCAGTTCCCTACTTCATAAGACAAGTGGGGAAACACGGAAGGAAGTGGGAATACTTGCGCTGGGTACCGCAGTGTGCATTCATGTGGACAGGATGTGTCCAGAAGAGGAAAACTGTATTTTTAGAGGCATCCTGATCAAGTTTCCCCTCTAGTCACAAGTATCAATGTTTGTTTTCCTTCTTACACTGGAAGGAAAAGCCCCATCTCAGTCCACCTGCATCATGCTCACTCACACAACCATAATTTCTCTATGTAAACACATTTATGTCCCCACATGACACCACATGATACATAAACACGTTTTGTGTGCTCGCGCGCGCACGCGCGCGCACACACACACACACACACACACACACACACGCACACACACGCACACACACACACGCACGCACACACAGACGTGCACTGGTGTGTCCGACTCATGCTGCACATTTCTGTTGACTGACCTACATCTTGCTGTCAGCTACAGGCCATCTCTTGCATATGCACACACACACACACACACACACACACACACACACACACACACACACACACACACACACACACACGCAGTGCATTGGGTGAAGGGTACTCATTCTAGTGTGTTTTTTTGTGTGTGTGTGAGCTAGCCAAAACATCCACGAAATTAAGATGGTTGAGACAAAACAGACACACAACTAATCCCCTGTCCATCTGCATTGTCGATGATGAACGTTAGGACACCCAGCTTGCTTCGTAGCTACGTTCTTTTGGTTGCCATGGCGACAGGGAGACGAGTTTTGCCGAACAGGGGGTGTGGAGATAGCGGCCATTTCACACACAAACGCAGCCTCACTACCGTCCCTTCCCCCACAGCCTTTCCCTTTTTGCTCAGGGGGTGAACCAAAAAAAAAAAAAAATGAGAGCCGGCCGTGCCTACAGCATGACGCTTTAGCCACAAACCACTGCTCCCATTTCTGGGATCTGGGACATATTTTGTCTGACTCATCTTTTCAGGCTTATGGAATCGAGGAGGGAGGGTGGTACAAAGGCGCGGATGGAGGCCCGGGAGGGCGGGGGGGGGGCACCAAGGGGGTGCTGACTATCCACTGACGGAGGGATTCATGGTCTGGGATGGTTAGTGAAGCAGGAAGTAAGGGGCAGGAGAGGTGTTGGGTGGAGGGAGTGGGGGGTGTTTGTTTTGCCATGTTGGACGTCCCTCAGGGGTCTGCAGTATTATGGGAGGGAAATGGATTCGAGACCTGCTCTGGAGTCTCCATCATTACATTACCATCGTGTGTGTGTGTGTGTGTGTGTGTGTGTGTGTGTGTGTGTGTGTGTGTGTGTGTGTGTGTGTTAGATTCATGTTTGAACACAAAGGCTCTATTGAGAGGAGAGGGGGAGAAAGTAGTGCATTCCCACATGCGTATGTTAGTGGCACGCCACATAGCACTGCTCCATGTGGTCAAAATACACAGAAGAATCAAGCGGGATTATATTTGAATTGTTTACCCAGCAAAACAATCACCATATTTTGTGGTGCCACGATAATTACAATAGGAGAAATAAAAGAGGATAAAGAAGATATTGTACAGCTCAATCCTCAAGATCAGGGGCCACCAACCTTTTTTGCCCCACGGACCGGTTTATGTCAGACAATATTTTCAGGGACCGGCATTTAAGGTGTGGTGGAAATAATACAACAAAATAATATGGTATGAGCTGCATGAAAACTGGGGTGTTTTCGAAATATAATAATAAACACAAGGAGCGTCTAATCTGGCCGCAACACTCCGACCGCATTGGCAATGTTTAATGCCTTCAAAATACGATACAACGCAAATTCAAAGTGCATGAAAATGACGACTCACCACAGCACCGAGCTTGATTTTCTGCAACCAGACGGTCCCATCTCGGGGTAACAGGAGACAATGACACCTCAAGTGTGTGGTTTATGTCCAGTCTACTTCGTAATTTTGTTTTCGTCGCCGTTGCTGCAGAAACCCCCCCCCGCCTCACACAGGTAGCATGTCGGAAATAGCAACAGTGCTATTGTGTCGCTCTCAGAGTATTCAACCATAACTTTAATCCAGTTCTCTCGAACGTACTTTTAAGGCCGCCGTCATTTGCGATCTCCAGCAGTTTTTTTTACTCATTTTGCGAGCTCCTGTGTTTTGTTTTGAAGTAATCGGTCACGTGACGGAGAAGCGTGGCTTGATGTGTGTCAAGTGTGACACAGACGGATGTAACGGAGAATCCGGTAGTTTTTCAAAATAAAACATCTTTCGTATTCCGAAATAAATAAAACGGAATTAAGGCAAGTTCTTCCTGTGCGGCCCGGTACCAAATGCCCGGCGGACCGGTACCGGTCCGCGGACCGGCGGTTGGGGACCCCTGCTCAAGATGTATTGTGCTGTGTTCAAACCACTGCCAAAAGGGTTATAGCAGTAGCATCAGCATTAGCTTGATTAGTTTGAAATTGATGTGACTTTACGTGTCGATTGATAAATCATTGTAAAACGTTCTTTTGTTGATTATGAGCACTGGAACTGCGCGAGTGGACATACCGCTCCAGAAAAAAATGCTTCTGCGGCAACAATAAAGTAGAAACACATTGTTCCAAATCCCAGTTTTATTGGTTGTTGGATTGCAGGTGAACCGATGGCACAAGAGATGAATCCACAATATCAAACAAATTATACAAAAATAATACAAAAAGGAAGTTCCAGTTATACAAAGCAAAGATGTGGATTTTTTTTTTTTAAACCCACCTAATTTCCTACTGCCCAAAACGAAAGCGTAAGGCACAGTCATTACCACACATTTGCCATTCCACATCCGTTTGTCTTAGCCTCGGTTACCATGGAGACAGTATCGCTGACAATAAGGGAACCATTTACGTATTGGAGATTCTTAACCCTTGATTTAAAAAAAAAAAAAAAAAAACACTGCCTACAATCATGTTTCATTTCTTTGTGCTAGGAGGCGCTTCATGGATTGCTCTGGAGAAAGCAGGCCAACAAGACAAGATTCTTGGCTTCACTGCTACATGACTGTAGAACGCCACTTCTTCCTTCTATGACCTTACGAATTCACTAACAAGCACCCCCCCCAAAAAAAAACATTTAGTCATACCTCATTTCAAAATGCTGATATGACAATGGTCAAAGTTGAAACAAAAGAAGGGCGAGAAGCAGCAGATCTGGTTAAGAAAAAGGCTCTCAAGTGCTTTGTGACGGATGAGATGCTTCACTGGCTTTGGCAGGAGGGGAAAAACACAAAAACCCAAAACATTTTACTAATTGGTGCAAACGGCACACATTACGAGCACCATGGTCCAGTTGTATCGGCTTTGTGCGAGATGACGCGATGGTTGAATCCAGTTAAATCACAAGGCTTGGTCGACATACATAACAAAGCTCACGTTGTGCTCATCTGATCCAAAAAGCAGCTTTCAAAATATTCATTTCTGGGCTTCCCTACTTCACTTAACCATGATAATGTCTGTGCCTTGGACTCTAACGTCACTCCGAGCCCAACATGTTTTTTCTTTTTTTTTTTTTTCTGGTGAGGTGCATGCAGTGATAGCACCCAGATTTGTTTCTTTTTTTCCCCCCCAACTGTTCTGGGGACAATAGGGAGGGGGCTGTACGTTGACTTCCTACATCCTGTTTGGTCCCGAACAATCAAGACTCCCCACCAACCAATAGAAAGACAGCTAGAGGACAACACAGGAAGCGAGTTTACGAGGGAACCATTTCATGTTCAGGTGAAGGCCTTACACTCAACCAAGAGGCCCAGGAAACACACGCGCACACACATCTGTTCTGGTTTTGATAGAAAAAAAAAATCTGTTTCTACTCGAGGCAGATATATAGACCGCGCACCTTAGAAGCAGAATCTTTTTTTGTGGGGCGGGTGAAAAAAAAAGGGGGGGGGGTCAAGTAGAGGAACATCAATTTACAATAGAGACGAGTAGAAAGAAGACCAGTCGGTGCTAAGGCGAGGAAGGGGTGAGCAATGATTCGGGGGAGGGGAACGAGCAGCGAACCAGGGGAAAAAAAGTGCACAGCCCCGTGGTAACTATAGCAACATACAGAGGTTGGCAGCTGGGAAAGGAAGGAGAGAAAGGAAGAACGGGGGAGGCAGAGAATAAACCTCCCTCTTCCATCCTTCCTCTTCTCTCTGTGCAGTTCAAAATATAAAGTCAGACAAGACGTCATATATGAGGACGGGCGTGGGGAAAGGGGAGGCGGGGGGAGTAGTAGACATTGCGAAGGGCGGGTGTCGCGTTGGGACGACTGCGTCGCCCCTCCCCCCCACCCCCGCCGCAACACCCTCAATACTCCCACAGCGTGGCCGTCTCGAGGTCGTCGGCGTTGGCCTTCAGCACGCCGGCGTGGTCGCCGCGGAGATACTTGCCGTCGCCGGCATGGCGGACGGCAAGCTTGTTGTAGTCGCAAAACTCAAAGAGGAAGTCGACGGGCGCGTCGCTGCTGCTCACCACCGCCTGCTCGTTGCCGACCATCCAGTACTTGCCGGTGGAGTCTGAAAACGGGAGGCAGGCATTCAGGAGTTGAGCGCTTTACTACTTTCACGACTTTCATCCGACGTAAATGACAATTTTTTTTTTCCCCTACCAAGAGGATTTGCATTCTTTCACTTGTTACAAAATGGAGGGCACTACTCTGTTGATCGCGTCGAAATTATTTGAGGTGCAAAGAAATAGCGGGTCATTGTGGCACAAGTTCAGAACAGTCAGAGTGGAATAAAAATGCTCGATTTTTAAATTTTTTTTTTTTTGCCACTCGTTTCAATTTTTTCATGGAATTAAAATGATAAAGGCCCACCTGTGTAATGTTTTTGGGTCATTCTCCAAGAACCAGGAAGTAGACTCAGATCAGGGATGAAACAAATGTGGGCATTTATCATTTTTAATCAAGCCAAACTACTCATGGCATTGAATGTTGCAATTTATGTTTGGAAAAAAAAAATCCCGTAAAAAGAAACAATTTAAATCCCCCCCCCAGCCCCTCATAAATAAAGGTGTTTTTACATAATCCTGCCAACAAACGAAAAAAAAAAAAACATACGCCTTCGTTGGAGATACTGAACCAAACCAAATCCCTCTTTTTTTTTTTTTTTTTAATTTAAAGAGTAAATCCATAATGAGCACGATAGACAAAAGACGTAATCCTTTTCATGCCCGCAAGCCGTCTGACAACAAAGCGTCTGTGCCAGCCGCGGAGCTCAGGCGCTACGGTTGACTTTGCACACTGACCTTGCAGGCTGTAGGCTCCATCTCGGAACTCCAGCGTGAAGTAGTCGTAGGACGAGCGATTGGAATCCAGGGTCCCGGTCACCTTCCTGCAGCCGATGAAGCCGTGCTCGCCGCGCAGTACGATGATGGGACGGTTGATCAGCTTCATGATAAACTCCTCCGACTCACCTGGGAGGAGCAAAGGCACATTTTACACATCGAGTGATCCAAGTTACTTGATGGTTGTTCATTTCGGTACAGATTTTAGCAAGCTGACGCACATGATTTGCTACCGCGGGCCACATAAAATGACCTGGCGGGCCAGATCTGGCCCCCGGGCCTTGAGTTTGACACACGTGTCTTAAGTGATCTGACTAACTGGGGCATAAAAGCTCCAATGTGGAGGCACGGTTTCTAACAATAGCCTACGATCTGTCAAAATCAAACACTTTGGCTGTCACATGGACATCAAACGCTGCTAAAAAAAGAAAAATGGAACTTCTGATCTCAACATTCCCGCCTGGCATCCAATTCGTGGCCTTAACGAGAGACTCGTGAGGAGGATTTTGACAGTTTCACTGGGGAAGAATCACGGATTCCAGCTTGACAAAATCCGCTCATTGAACACCAACGGCGATGGCGAAATCAGCACTTGCGCATTCAAATTCATTCACAGACCTATGACCAATGAAATCAAACTGACCGGCAGAGTCCATGGTGGCTGCGAGCTGGCCGTTTTTCTTGGCGGCGACGTATTTCCCGTTAGCGGCCCGCAGAGTCAGCCTCTTCCCACGCCACTCAATGTCAAAGTAGCAATTAGTTGACCTACAGACAGACAAATGAAAAGGCACAAGACATCAGGAAGGGAGGTTGCGCTTACGTTCACGTGGCACCTGCGAGATTGAGCGCCAAGTGTAAACACGCTCCGCTGTTGCGCAATCAGTTGGGAGGACAAGAGACTTCATCCGTTTCCCTCCACTTGGCACATCGCGTTGCTGAAATAACACATTCTGGTGTACAATTCGCGTCGCAGAGACAAACCTGCGTTTCACCTCAAACATTCCCTAATAGTTCACTCCCTTCGAGGTGAAAACCAAGAGGAAATGAAATGCGGTTGCATGTGGAAGGCGTCAAGAGAATAGAAGTGAGACTGTCGTCGTGGAATGCGGCCGCATTAAGATGCTTGCCGCGCTTTTGTCTCATCTCAAGCCGACACCTTTGAGATAAGTGAGGAAGGTTAGTGGGACCTCTGCAGACAAACCGTTCCCGAATGCTGGCCGACTTCCAGTTTTGGATTTCAAAATCAAAGAAATAATGGTAAGGCATATGGAGGAGTACTGCACTGCTTTTCTACAGTCATAAAAATCTTGATTAACTCGACAGGCAGTGTTTGAGGTTTGCGAACATGTCAACATTCTTAACTGCCACACAAGTGTAAAAAAATTAATTCAACCCCGTTCTTAAAGCTAAAACAATATGACAAAACAAAAGGTGCGCTTGGTGTCGATGCAGCTCGTTCTGTTCATTTTTTTTTTTTTAAACTTTGTCACAAGTGTATACATTAGGATTTTAAAATGATGTCTTTACAAGGAGGCACACCTAATTTAAGAGTTGAATTATAACCGCCCAACACTGTGGTTGAAAGCACTCCGTTCTGGGGAGCAGTTCTGTCACAAATGCAGAACAGAGCTTTTGTTTAGGTGCCTTTTCGGCCGCTGTCGCAACAAAAGAGCGACTCTGTGTTGGCAAAATTACTGATAATCGCCGTATTCAGTGACTTCTCAGACATCTGCTTGTGACTATTTTTCTCAATAAAAATGACCATTTTTACAAATATGACAACTGTTTGCAACTGTGACTTAGTCAGCAGATAAGCTAACAGTTGGCCTCGCTTCTATTCAGATAGCGGGAAATGCCTATTATTTATACAAACATGACGAGGGTTTGCAACTGATTTAGTCACCGGCCAAGCTAACAGCTAGCCTAGCTTCTATTCAGATAGTGGGAAATTACTATTATTTATACAAAAATGACAAGGATTTACAACTGTAATTTAGTAGCTAACGGTTAGCCTCCATTGAGATAGCTGAACCTTGGTTTTCGCATGCCCTCGTTTTCTTAGGTTTCAGTTCAATTTTATTTTTTTGCGTTGGAATTTAGTCCCAGTTTTTGAACAGGTTTAATGGTCCTTACCAAACACTGCCATTTTTAATGCTCATGGTTTATTTTTTGGGTCGATTTATACTATTTCCTATAAGAAAACATTGCTTTAGTTTTCATACAATTCTCCTTTGACCATTTAAACGTGAAAACAGTACCACCATCTGTATTTCAGTCTTGCTTGTATGTCATCTGGTGTGGGAGTGGGAAAGTCACATTCGTTGACGGAGATGTGTGTGCATGTGTGTGTGTGGGACTATGGGCGCAGTCAAACCATTTTTTTCCCCATGTCATGTGTGGGCTGACATTTTGAAAACTGGTCAAGATGTTGAAAACTGCCCCAGCTCACACCACACAACAAAGATTGGCAGTATTCAAATCAATAGTTTGTGTGGCACCATTAAAATGGAGTGTACGTAAGACCCAAAGTGTTTGGCTCGTAATGATTAAGACGGCTTTTTTTAATGGAGCCTCATGAGTAGTACCCAGACACGTCGGATGGGGGTCAAAGGTTAACTGCCAGCACTCTGGTTAGATGTGAAAGAAAAATCACTCCGCACAGGTTGAGCCTGCACACAAATCCAATCGGTCCTCCTCCACATGCCAAGGCCTTGACCCCTGAACGCACGCATGACATCGGACCCAATACACACAGGCCCTACGCATCTCAAATATCCAGCTGGCACTCCAAACTTAAGATGAACGATCAACTGTCCTTCCCCAGGGGCCCCCCGAGAGCTGTGACACATTGAAACAGGTGATCACGCCATCACATACTTGGTGGAGGCGGTGCACTGCAGGCCTCCGTTGGCAGTAAGGGTCCAGTATTTGCCGGCAGCGGTGCGGAACGCACACTTCCTGTTCTCGCGGCTGATCTCCACTTGGAAGACTTCCTGGTCACCTTCCTCGTCCTGATTGGCTGACAGGTCCATACCTGTGGCGGGGAGAGAGAGGGGTGGGGGGAGACGCAGCGGTTAGGGCACGTCCGAGGAGTGAGCTGCAAATGGAGATGATCCAGATACACCCGTGCAAATCATCTGGTTAGGATAAGATAACCTAAATGAGCAACAGACAGTTTGGATTAGCAAAGGATTTTGACAGACACACACACACACACACACAACCACCATGAAAGTACACAACTCTTGACCTCATTAACATCGCTTCAGCCTCACAATGAGCTACAGAGAAATAAACAATGTCAGTCTACAGGATAGCATACCCAACTGTACTCGCGTACATGCACAACACACAGTTCAGATAGCACAATACATGCCATTGTGCATTATGAGGTCATAGTTGACCGTTAGCCGGAGGCCCTGATAGAGAGAGAGAAACATGGACTGTGTTGGCCCGCTGTGTTAATGTGTGCAAAAAGAAATGTGTGTTTGAGAAAACGATTATAATCATGTGCTTGGTTTTTTTTTCCCCCTTTCAGTCTTCCTTTTCATGCTCCTGGATGCTCAAATCTCATTTTTTCCTCTTTCTTGTTCTCTCCAGGCCCACCACTTGCGATATTAAAATGGAAAATTCCACAAGCTGAACAACAACAACGACGACGAGCGTTATATTGGCAACCTTGAGCTGCAGCTGTCCGGGAACCTCCCACTCCATTTTTCTCATTTCAAACCCAAGCAATGGCACTTGAGGACATTGACAAGATTTTAAACTGTTATGACGCCATTGTGACGATGTGCCCACACATCAGGGGGGAGAGGGAAAAAAAAAGCCAGGCGTGACAAAACTCAGATGAAGAAAAGAATATTGTTGAATATGACGGGGGGCTGCCACGTACTAAAATATAAAACACACCTCTGACTCCACCGTTGCGAACATGAAAAAAAATCCAGGTGGGCTTCTGCTCCCACTGAGCAGCACTTATGTAATGTGCATTTTTTTTTTTTTTATGTGTTGGAGGAATAAATTAGAAAAGACCATGCATGTCACCTTATTCCTTGTTTCTTGGGCACTTAGGAAAAGCTACTCCCAAAACTTGAGACCTCCGGCCTCTGCGCACGTACTAAATTTCGCCAGATATGTGGGGATGCACACACACACACAAACTCATAGTTGATTGAGAGGGAAAACATAACAGACCTTAATGGAAACCACATGCTCGGACAAGATGGGAATGAGCAGTGACTTCAAGGAGGAGGATAGAAAAAATAAAAAATAAAAAATGAAGAATTCCACCTTGAAGTCAAGACATCGAACGGCTCTGTAATAGTCGCCGTTGACTGCTCAAGCCAAACACTCCTTCAGCACAGTAGCAGAGGCGAGTTTACATGAGAGCGTTTCATCCTGCGTGAGAGGTAACATTTGTGACTCGTGGACGATTTGCGAGGGGGTAATCCCAAAAGCTGAGGCTCAGCGCTGTGTTTTTTGACGAGCACGCCAGTCGGCGTGCAGTGAGAAGATCAAGGCGGCGCCCCGGCCTCGATTTTGAAGCCATTGCAAGCGCCCCGTCTCATTAGCAGAGATGTTGGAAGAGCAACAGTTCTCACAAGATATGCATTCATTGTGGTTTTTCCTCTCAGTTGCTTTAGTACATTTTTTCCAAATCAGAATTTAGCAAAACTAGTTGTTCGGTTTTCACATCGTTGTGTCTCATTTAAAACGTTAAAAAAATAAAAAAAAAGACTGTTCGACCCACTTGTCAAGTCTGTTAACTTGGAAAGAAAAATAGACGGCGTCTTAAAACTAACCTTTTATAAAACTCCACCTTAAAATCCCCCCCCCCCCCATCTTCACAAACAAAACTGGCCCAAAATAGAACGCCGCTTTCCTACGACGACATACGTCATACCGAAGTCAGTTGTGGCCTAAACTGAAGCGGAACGATGTTTGGGTGTGGGTGGGAAAACCGTCTTGTTAAAAACACACACCAAGAAGCCTTGAAGAGAGGTTATATGACAAGAAAAACACACGTGGAAATATACAACGCCGACACAGACAAAGCCATGACCCGGAGAGTCCACGGCCGCGTGTGAAATCCTGATAAGTGTACACCGCTTTTTTTTTTTTGTTCAATGAATAGCTCCCAAGGGACGTTGGACTAGCACACCAGAACCGAAGTGACCACGCTGCAGAATCCTCCCATCCCACACACACACACACACACACGCAGTGAAAACACCCTGTCCGTCTTTCTTGTCCACCTCATCCAATCTGACGGAGGCGAGGAAGGCCCCAGATTGTTGGCCGCAATTAATTGCGAGCCGGCAGCGGCTCTGCAGTGAACGCACGCGATTGTACCCACTTCAATTGCCAGTGTGTGTGTGTGTGTGTGTGTCTGCTATTGTTCACGAGGGTGACCGAGCAGGGGGACAGCTGTGGCACAAACGGGGAGACACCAGATCATCAGGCCTTTGTTCCGATTCACAAGCACGACACCTCAAGCCAGTCTTGCCGACTTTGAAAGCCTAATCAAGCTGCAGGAAACACGCACACAGATTCTCACACCCTTCCTGTATCACGTAAGGTCACAGTTCGAAATTGATTTTTCAACTCATGCCGGGTGTGAAGGGCATTTCTGCAGAGATACACCCCACACAGGAAGCCAAACCAACAATGAAGTAGATATCATGGAGAGAGTCTTTGCTGCTGACCCCGCCTCACCCACACCCACACCCACACACACAAACCCGCGCCCACGTTAACATGACGGTCTTTCAACATATCAGTTTACACATTCTTCAGCAGCCAGCAAACACAAGCAAATGATAACAGCAATCACTTGCTCCCCCCCCCCGCGC